TGTGTGACAGTTCTAGCTGTTGCATTCTATACTAGCTGAAACATCTGTGTTGTCAAGGGCAGCCCCACATATTGTGCATTACAGTAATCTAACTGGGAAGTTACCGGAGCATAAACTACAGCCGCCAGACTATCCCAATAGACAGTACAGTGGGCCCTTGGTATCCTCTGGAGTTTGGTTCCAGGACCCCCTGTGGATATCAAACTTTGTGGATGCTCAAGTCCCATTAAATACAGTGGTGTAGTAAAACGGTGTCCCTTATATAAAATAAAAGGCTTGCTTTTTGGAATTATATGTATTTTTAATATTTTCAAGTTGCAGAGAGTTAAATCCGTCGATAAAGAGCCCGTGGATACAGAGGGCTGACTGTACTTGTTTGGCTAAGATGGATGAAGAGTCTGACTCCTTTTAAGGTAGCTTCAGAGCTTGAAAAAGTTCTTTTTGTGAACCACAGCTCCCCAAATTACCGGCCAGTAATGGGTGAGTTGGGGAGCTGTAGCCCCCAAAAGTCACCTTTCCAAGCTCTGAAGCTTCATAGAAAGTGAGAGGAGAAATCCCTTTTATGCAAGAATAGAAGAGAGAGAGAGAGTCACATTTACACACTCAAGCGATGTGTGCATATATATATAAAATATAGTTCACACTTCCCACACATAACAGCGTAATGTTCATATGGCCATTTTCCAAATGGCTTTATGGGCCCCTGAGGCATCTTTAATATTTTATGCTGTTTAAACTTCCACTTTCGGATGATTTTGCCATTGCCTTTTTTCATACAGATCCGTTTGGCTGGAAGCACTTGAAGGGATTTGAAGCGATGGCCTCAAGAAGTGTGTTTCTCTTCCTTTCTCTCTCCGTCTCCCTGGTGCCCTCTTTCCAGCCCCCCAACAATGTCCCCATGCTTTACCCACTCACACTTGCTTGCTTTGGGCTGGCAAGAGACGAGGAGGAAGGTTTTGCCTTTCATGTTGGTTATAAATGACATTCTGGAGACCAAGGGGGCAAAAAAGGAGGTGTCAGAACTAGGATACAGCCAGGACATGTTCCTCCCCTTCTACCCCCTCTGTGAACATTAATGGATTAACGGGTGCTATTAATGGATTTATAGCCTGGGCAAAGATTTTAAATAGTGTTGTAATTTTTTGGAATGAATAGCCCATGCCCAATGTGCCATTTTCATCTGCTCTTTTTATACACAGCTTTGAGCCTTCCGTATCCAGAATTCCAAAATCTGAAACCCTCCAAAAACCGTAACTTTTTTTCATGGGT